GCTTAACCTCCCTCCCCCGATGGCGCCGCCAAAGCCTATACATCCGTAAATGATCACTGGAGTATTGTGATTGACTGAAGTTTGGACCAGAGATTTTTTTCGTGGGTGGTGGTGGGCGTCGTGGTGGTCAAGAATGAGGATTGCAATTAGATTTAATTAACTACATTTATTATACTAATAATCCAATAATGTGGAGAATCGCTCTGAGACTTAGGTGCATAGAGCACTATAAAAAACAGCATATTATTATTATTATTATTTTATTTATTATTACCCCCTCTGTTGTATCAGCTTTTTTGGCAATACAGTACATGCTAAAATGATGGGACAGCCCTGAACTACTAATAGTGATTGCTGGTACTTAGGAATTCCTGGTCCATCAGTCTGACTGGCTGATGGTGTCCCTATATAAGTGTTAGTCTGGAAATAAATCCTGGCCTTCTCCCTTGGCTGCCAGTGCTAATGCTGCTCCCAAGGCGGCCTTCTCTCCCTCTGCTTGTGGTCCTTCCACGAGAAGAGGTGAGAGATATGTGTGCTATTACATGTATGGGCAACCAGTTAGCTGGGTAAGAGTTACAGTACTGCACTTGATATCTCTATCTTTAGGAATGAGGACATTCTAGAAATTAATGGACCTGCTTCTCGGAAATAAAGAATTGTAGTGTACTGGTTACTTCATCCGTGAGTATAATCATTAATAAAATAGTCTGTTGGCTCTCATAGAGAATTTGATGTTTGTGATACCATACTTGTTCTTTTATTTCATCTGTTTAGCAACTTATTGAAAGTCAACGGAATACCACCGTTGCCTTGCCCACTGCGATCGAGGCTCGGATAAGAAAGAGCATTACAACATCAATACCAATGATTTAATTCTATTTAAAGTCCTCATATTCTGTAGAACCCTCATCTTTGGGACACCCCTGTTGGGATCTCTTTTTTGGCTCTTTTAACATTATGGGCAACCTTATCAGAATAATATTCCATTTGGTTCATAGCCAAACTTGTCATATGTACATTGAATTATAGAATGGTGCACCATCAAGTCGATGGCCGCTCCTAAAAACAATAACATTTTCCAAATAAATTGATTGATGTTTTATTACTATTGTTACCAAACCAGTTGATATGTTTTATCTTTTTATTCCATCAGACATTTAATAGGTTCGGTTTGCGCGGGTTGAATACTTGAATGTGGACACTGATATACACAGGATCAAATACTTGGCATTCAACCTACAGCGAGACCTCTTCCTGGTGGAGTACTACAGTGAATGCTGGGTAACTACATTAAATTGTGGGTCAGTTTTATGGAATGGTGTGTTCCTAGATGAATTTGTGAATAATATTAACAATATAATGAATGGATTTAAGCTGTACTTTTGTGGTTAAAGTGCTTGCTTTACATAACCGTGAGGTTCTAGGTTCAATCATGGTAGAAAATGTCAGGAAGTTTCTCACAACCAAATACAGTAGAAACCCTCAATTACGAACCCCGATTTAACAAATTCCTAAATCAAGGTGTTGACGTCATAAAAAGTAAAGTGAAAAGCAAATGAAAAAAAAAAAAAAAAATTCGCTCGAATTGCAACTGTTATTAGCACGCATACAAAACAACATATCATACTATACAGTATGTAATTCTTAAGTGAAGGAGGCCCTCTAACTGGCCTCTTCAAATTCAGTGTTTATTGGCTTCACACATGTGCATGCGACAAGTTTTACTTCTCTTTTAATCATCATTTGCAGCTTTAAAAGTCAACATAGTGCTTGATTGTTTTATAAATGATCAATATATAACAAGTATCTATGGAAGTTGTGTTCTAGTGAAATCCACAATCTAGGTATTTAAGAAGATAACAACATACAAACAAATTCAAAACAAAATTAGTGTGGAGTGGGATCAGAATGCTAATAGAAACTGCTTACTGTTGGCCTAGGACCCCTCAGACTTAGTTGTGTAGGCTTGTGAGGCCTAGTTTATGCCAGTGTAAGTAGTACCAGTGCAAACATACCTGTATAGGAATTTGGGTCAACCCCAATTTTACGAATACCCGCAATTACGAATGGTTCTGGGCCTGTGCCGTACGTAATTGAGGGGTTCTACTGTATAGAGTCTTTAGACTCTGCCATGGTTTAGAGCACTGAGGTTCCAAATGAAAAAGCACTTCAATCCACAAACCTCGATAAGACTTAGTTGTAGGAAATCAAGGTGGGGTGGGGGAGGTACTGTAGTTTCTTTCAAGCTGGGGATTATCTCCCTTCCCTGCCCTGCTAGTGCTACTGTTATAGAGTGATCATTCTTTCTCTGTTTCTGAAGGTCAAATCAGGATAATCTGCCATGCAACTTTCTTGAGTGCAGGCTGAGTGATTGTGAACGTTTATGTCCTGCTACTACTCTTAGTAGTGTCACTGGAATTCTCATTGTCGACAGAAGCAGTCAAAGAGGCAAAGCTTGTCAAACTATAAAGGTACGCTCAAATGATTGCTTTTATTTTATTTAGTAATATGCTAATTATAATTGCACAGTTACAAAGCGCTGTTGCATTGGTGGCCTCCCAGTGCTACAAGCAAAATGATAGAAAATGATAGTTTTTGTGAGTGGATTTGAACTACAGGTCTCCCTCTAAATAAAGAACACTTTTGGGACCACAGTTTCCATGATCTTCAGTCTCTAATTAGAAAAATAAAGATGAAAGACATTTGTTAATTTGAGACCACAAAAAAGTGGTCTTCTAATTGGGGAGATCTTTAATTTGAGGGAGACACATACATCAAAGTGGAAGTATAATGAACTTGCAGGGTTATTTTTCCTAGAGAGGGTGCAGTGACATAATAACAAAGCCCTGTGAAAAGTGGAAGGGTCATTCCAAATCAAACAATCCAAATTTTGGGATGTCCCACCCCACACTTCCAGTTTTTAAGAAAATAATAAATGGCAATTTTAATATAGTCAGTATATCCACCACAAGAGTGTTGCTCATGGCACTTTGTGCAATTTAACTTGTTTTTCTTTTATTTACACAGTACTCCAGTATCACAAACCACGCCCAAACCACACCCATATACAATTCAGCACAATGACAATTCAGCACAATGACGCTGCAAGTTATGGCTTATTCTCCTACCTTTACTTTTATGTTACTATCTTCCAGGTAATGTATTATTAATAAGTGATAACTTGTTGGAATGGATAAAATCTGAGACTTGTTTTCCAAGCTGGTGTCATTTTTGTAGTGAGTTGACTACTCCTCTCTGAAGAGTGTACTGTATTTGGTGTTTAAGACCAATATCTTAAATGTCTTTTACAAAAACCTGCGCTATTTTAACTTGATTTCAGTCCTCCAGGTAAAACAAAAGGAGAGCACAGATGGAATTGAGCGAGGGACTGAGGGTCTTGAAAGATTTGTGCATCACAGTAGCTACCACCAGTTCAGCCGCCTCAGCTAACTTACCCCCTTATGCTCTCTTGGAGACAAGATGCTAATGATCATCATGATACACCTAAATGTTGATTATTGAATATTATGACAATTATAATACCAAAAGTAATTTCCTTATTTGCAAATTAATGTTATTAATATATAGTGGTATTATATTTACTTTATTGTAATTAATATATAGTGGTATTATATTTACTTCATAATACTTAATATATAAATTGTGTAATTTTAAAATTACAATATTAATTACTAATAATAAGATGTATCAAGATGCTAATGATCATCATGATACACCTAAATGTTGATTATTGACTATTTTGACAATTATAATATCAAAATTAATTTCCTTACTTGCAAATTAATGTTATTAATATATAGTGGTATTATATTTACTTTATTGTAATTAATATATAGTGGTATTATATTTACTTTATTGTAATTAATATATATTGGTATTTTATTTACTTTATTGTAATTAATATATAGTGGTATTATATTTACTTCATTATACTTAATACTATGTATAAATTGTGTAATTTTAAAATTACAATATTTATTACTATTGAATCTTGTATTGTATATGGAAAATATCAATAAACAATAAACAAATGTTTCCACAGTAACTTATAACCATTCACCTGTTCCTGTTGCCAAGAGACATAAGATGTCAGATTTGTTCTGTATTGTTGAGTGCAGTGAAAGTTGATAAAAATGCTAGAAAGGTAAGATAAGCATATACCACTATTTAACTCAACAATCAGTTTTTGGAAATTTTATAACTTATCATTTTATGTCAATTATAATCAATCAGTATTGAGTAATTATTGTCATTTGTGGCAAAGACAAGCCAAACCAGTCATTGGTCACAAATCTTGTTTCAGAGATACTGTAATGGCCGAAACATGCTGGAATGTCAACATTTTTGAAATCTATTTTTAATTGCACTATCCTTATCTGTATATCATGCTATGCTGCTATTTTCCCCATTTTCAATGTTAAAACAAAACTTTTAATGATTTTATGAAGTTTCTGCCTGAGAAATGCCTGAAATCATAAACTTCGAAGGCATGATTTCTCAAATATAGTTTTTTAAACAGATTTTTAAACTCTTGTAACATCGTAACACAAAATTGTCGAATTTAAATGGTTCTTTTACTATTTTTATAGCTTTCATTTTACTCTTTTATATCCCTGTATTAATAACTAAAAATTGATTTTTCTGATGAGTGACTGGTTTGGTTTGTCTTGCCACATTTTATTGTAAAATTGTATTCTTTCCCAAGCTGTGTTATACTGACAGTCTTCTGAAAGTATCTTTGAAGATGTTATATAAAAAAAAATGATGATGCAAATATAGTGAGTTACATGGACTGTATATATTTTTAAGAAAAGGAAAAAAAAAAAAATAAATAATAATATCTGACAAAAAAAAATAATGCATGTGTTCTTTCATTTCTGGGAACTATCTTGTATTGTTTTTTTTGTATCCTATCCAAGTAACGTTATTTTGACTGCCAATCCCTTAAAATATTGACGTGTAAAAATCTTAGAAGGCCTCTGGACCAAACTAAATCATAAAAACACTCCCTGTGAACCTTACAAGGGAGTTTTTATTCCGGGCCTGTGCCCGAGGCTTTGTCAGCCTCTTGTCTCGGGATCCCTCCGCCGGACATGTCGGACCACTTATCGGCAAATCTCCGGCGCCACCGCTGGTGCTAGGGGAAGGGGTGTTTTTGTATTGGGGGCGTTTGAGTGTTTAGGTCGTGACGTCGGTAAGCTAAGGCGAGTGAGAAGACTCAACTCAAAATGGCGGCCAGAATTTTATTTGGTGCTACTGAAAAAAAATGTTGGTGCTACCAAAATTTTTGGTGAGATGTCCTACAAAATTAGCAGTGCTACTAGTACCAAGTGAAAAAGTTAATTTGTAGCCCTGACTACCTGTGTCTTTACTACACCAAACTGACATAATAGAAAGTATGCATGTCAGGCCTGACAGTTCACCAAAGCATGTCATAAAACAAATGTAAGTACCGTATACTATAATAGAATATAAAAATCTTCCTGTGACAAAATAACCTGCAAACCAAGCTGATTTCCAAAATCTCTTTATATGAAATAAAGAATAATTAACGTTTAGAAAACAAACTAAAACAAATGTCTTACCTGGAAGTACGTGTAAATGAGTACAGTATGATCGGATGAACACGATCATGAGTGCATCGTTGTATGTGTTTCTGTTGTTTGTTCTGAATGATGATGATGAACGTTCTTTTCCGTTTGTTTGAAAAATTTGCGCGTGTAGATAACGCGTGTAATTTTGTTCTGTATTTATACGCATTGTTCTGCATGTACGCATCAACATCTACTTATTGTAGCGTATGAAAAAATAGGTGTACGTTAATTTAAATGCATAAAAATAAATTTGTTTTTAATCACTTATTTAATAATTAATTATCTAAATTGCTTGATAAATTATTTATTAATATTAAAATATTAGAATATTTATGTGTACAAAGTAGATAGTATGTAATAGTAGTAAGAAATAAGACAGTTTTATGGTAGAATATAGCATAGTAGGTAGGTTTAAGAAATAGGAAAATATATAGGTTAATAGTTTAGGGTGTAGCTTTTGAATGGGAGAAAAATGCCTGAGGGGTACAGTTTCATAAAATACAAAAGTTAAAAGAAAAGTAATTAAAAAACATACATATATATAAATAGATATCATAATAAAAGTGATTAAGAATTAAAAGAGTTTTTAAAAAATATAATAGACATGTTCATGAAATTTGTTGTTGTTTCGTGTGGAAGTTCATTCCACAACTTTGTTGAACGATACAAAAAAGTTCTTTTGCCTTGACAGTTATTCCATTGTGGTACAAAAAGGTTATTATGAGATTGACTATGTGTACATTTTGAATGGGATTCGATATTAAATTTAAATTTAGATGATAAATGGGCGCATACCCTTTTAAACATTTAAAAGTCATAGTATAACTGACCTTGCATGGCCAATAAATTACAGAAGCTATGATTACTGTATATTAAAATTAAAGAGCAATTACCAGAGATAGGCCTATGTCCCAAATGATGGTTATAAATCAGGAAAATTGGCAAAGGCATTGAGGAATTAGTCTAAACAAATACCTCCATGGTAAAGGGTAGAAACACCTCATGAATAATTTGCCTATCCAAGTAACGTTATTTTGACTGCCAATCCCTTAAATATTGACATGTAAAAATCTTAATAGGCCTATGGACCACTAAATCATAAAAACACTCCCTGTGAACCTTACAAGGGAGTTTTTATTCCGGGCCAGTGCCCGAGGCTTTGTCAGTCTCTGTCTCGGACCCCTCCACTGGACATGTCGGACCCTTGTCGGCAAACTTCCGGCACCACCGTTGGTGCTAGGGGAAGGGGGGTTTTTGTATTGGGGTGTTTGAGTGTTTAGGGTGTGATGTCAGCAAGCTATGTCAAGTAATATGTACTGGTACTTGTTATTAAAATCAGTAATTGAAGAGAAATAGCACTATTGTTATTTCATGTGTGGCGCTTGGCCATTCGACTTGTGGCGAGTCGATGGCTAAGAGGTTGATTAACCGTTCAAGACAGGGTGCTGCAACCTACAGCCATAATATCGGTGCTGGTTCGAGAGGCTGAATAAGTCTTCTATGGTTTCTCTCCCTAAAAATTCAGTTTAGTTTTATCTTGAAGATTTATCCAGATTTTCTGGCAACACAATTATATATGTTTTCTTGTGTGTAAAATGCCAGACTACTAGTATACAATAATGTTATTGGCAATTTTTGTTTTATATTTTACTCCAGTTATCGTCAGTATCGTGGTTTATTAGCTGCAGAAGTAGTCCAGTTTTTTGCATTGTGCCATCGTTTTTTTGACTTGATGC